CATCATTTATCAATTCAAAATTAGTCAACAACGAATTGACAAAAAAATACAATTATGAAATTCAATTCAATTGCAAACATGGAATAATAAAATCTTTTTGACCAAAAAAAAAAAAAAAATCAATTGTATTTCAAACATACACCCCAAAAATCCGGTGGAAGATTTATGTTAACTTTTATTCCTTATTGATTTTTGTAAAGAATTTAAAATACTGACTATTTTGATGATTCCATTACCAACATAAAAAAATCACACCCTTTATTTTATATAATTTCTTAATTAAACATTTTGGATATAGTCGGTTGACCTATTATTATCGACCAATCCAATTCTAATAATATTAGAGACGGTCAACTGGGCTATTATAAATCAATTTACAAAATAATTATCTATAGAAAATAAAAATCAACTTAGTCAAACCCTATCCAAAAATATAAATCAAAATATGCAAACTTCGTTTCTCAAAAAAAAAAAAAAAAAAATCGTTAATAAATCGGGATTGTACGTTAAAATTGAAAACCGAAATAAATATTTCGATCTGAAATATTCAATTGAAACAAAAAACAAGATAATGAGATATCTTAAACCAAAAACAGGCAAGAAAAAAATAAGTATATATCTTGGGAAAATATAAATTAATATCTCCACAAAAATAAAAAAGGAATATAAATGAATATAGGAAAATTCCAAATTAGTAGGTAAGGAGATTGCAGTTAACAGAATCAAAAGACTCGCTTCCGCTACTGCATACATATATATATATATACAACAACAAAAAACTAACTGCATCACCACTCTCTACACGAGCATTACACATCATTTTTGCTAATCCCCAAAATAAATTAATTTAATTAAATTTAATTAATTAATTAATTAAATAAATAAATAAATTCAAAACCCTCATTTTTGTCGTCTTCCATTCTCAGTGTTTCTTCTCCATCACCATTATATATATATATATATATATATACATACAGTTTTTTCTCTCAAGTGCTGTTGTTGTGATATATACACATACATACATATATATATATACATATCGCTGTATCAGTCCGTCGTGTTGGAGAAATCGAAGGATTTTTCAATTTCAACCATGGCGGGAGAATTGGACAAGTCGCTGTTGAACGAACACAAGGAGAAGCATTTCACGGCCGGTGAGGTGGTGCGCGACATAATTATCGGCGTTTCCGACGGGCTGACGGTGCCGTTCGCCCTCGCGGCGGGGCTCTCCGGCGCTAACGCCTCCTCCGCCGTCATTCTCACCGCCGGCGTCGCCGAGGTTGCTGCGGGCGCCATCTCCATGGGCCTCGGAGGGTATTTAATTTATTTATTGCTCTCACTCTGAATCTCTCTCTCTAATTTATTTTTTTAATTGAAATTGTATTCTGTAACCGTTTGTTAATCAGGAATTTTATATGTGATTGAAGATCAATTTTGCTGAATTTTTAGATAAATGTCTAGCATTTGTTTGATGTATATTATGCAGTTATCTTGCTGCGAAGAGTGAAGCAGATCATTACATGAGGGAACTGAAAAGAGAGCAAGAGGAGATCATTGCTGTGCCTGATACAGGTTCGACTTCTCGTGTATCGGTTTATATACATACATACATACATACACACATCTATTGTGTTTTTTTATGGTGATTCAATGAATTTGAGCAGGGGTGTGTTTATATAGAGGGCACATTGAAGAAGAACAATCGAGTTATTTTATCGTAAAGGCACCTGCAAATCCATGCCCGATTAGAATATACTTTGAGTTGAAAATATATATTCGTCGAGTTGATTTTTAAGATGTATTTCGAATCTCGACACTCTTATTTTGAACTATTGTTAGTTAAATGTAGATCTGATATCCACGTTATGGAGTCATTTAAAATCTTTTATGTCAATCAAAATCCGTCGATCCAAATGCTACTTTACTTCATTCTATATGCGTTTGATCCAGTTTTTAGTTTTTTTCTCCCATCGATTTCTCTTCTCTGTTCCATGATTCGATCCGTGTAGTTCCTTATTGCCAAAGCTCTATACTATGTACATGTGTTCATGCAGTTTTTAAGTGATAATTACACTTTCTTTTGCGAATTGTTGGAGATTTTTTTAAGGTTTAATGGACACTGTTTATTACTTGAATAAATACTCGCAGAAGCTGCTGAGGTTGCGGAAATATTAGCTGATTACGGAATCCTGCCTCATGAGTATACTCCGGTGGTGAACGCTCTGAGGAAGAATCCAAAAGCTTGGCTCGATTTTATGATGAAGTAAGTCCGAACTCTCTGCCCCTTGTTTGCTATATCTTTTTCCTTAGATTTCTCGTCGAAAGTTATATGTAGCTTAGTTTATCATTTCCGAGATAATCAATGTCAAAGTAGATGTAATTAGCATCACCGTCTGTCATAAGAACCATGCAAAAAAATAAAAATAAAAATAAAATACTTTTTTTCTAGGTGGATTTTTCCTTTTTTATGAATTCGTTTAATAAACCCGTATGTTTGTCGAATACTGCGTCGTCCTTCGAACTTACGAATCTTGATAATCTCATCCTCAATTCGATTAAGTTTTAACATATTCTGATTTTTAGTCACATGACCATGTGCAGCCATTACAAACAAATAAAAAATAAAGTAATAATAATAAACTAAAACATAGTGTCCATATACTTTTATAAGAGGGGTCCCTTTCTCCTTGGAAACTGTAGATTCCAGGAACTGGGAAAGCTTATTGCCTGCTGAAAAAAAAACACAGTCAATTCTTGATTTTCTTTTTAATTTATTTCAAATGTGGATTGGAACTTGTTATTATCTATGAAAAAGTTATTAATCTCTTGCTTCCATAACCAAGAAAAAGCTGATAAATAAGCACCAGCTTTTTGATAATCACTGTCGTAACAGCACTGCAGTTGGTGTTTTCGCGTTTATCTTGAACTATAACAATAATTAAAAGTCAAAATTCTGGAGTTAAATTTCCCGGTAGAGGGCCGATTTTTCTACGTCGTAATTTATGGCATATAATTGAACTTGCTCAGATTCGAGCTGGGATTGGAGAAGCCAGATCCAAAGAGAGCATTTCAAAGTGCATTCACAATTGCCATAGCTTATGTCGTGGGTGGATTAGTGCCCCTTCTGCCGTACATGTTCATCCCCACAGTTACTAAAGCTGTGCTTGCGTCGGTTGTGCTAACTCTTATGGCTTTACTCATATTCGGCTACGCCAAAGGTCGCTTTACTGGAAACAGACCGTTTAAGAGCGCTTTTGAAACTGCTCTCATCGGAGCTCTTGCATCTGCTGCTGCCTTTGGCATGGCGAAAGCTATACAAGGATGACGACTTTTTTCCAATTAGACGATTTCGGGTTTTTGTTTCTTCGTTTTCTGTGCACTCTTTCCCGTTTTTAGTACTTTCAGTTCTTTCTTCGTTAAAACTTGGGACCTTTTTGATTTGTTCGTCTCTATTATGCGTATTTCTAGTTTTTGTTTTTCTTTCGGGTGTAATTAATTGGTGAGAACACTTGCTAGATATCCAGTCTTTCTTTTTCAAAGTTGGAACTTCACAAATTTATGATTATTAAGATGGTGTTTGCAAAAGCTTTTTGAAAGTGATTATGAGCTTTTTTTTTTTACTCATAATCTGTTTTTAGGTTGGCAGAATTATTGCTTTTGCTTCTCTTAAAATAATCTACTTTAAGCTATTTTTTTAAAAGCATCCCTAACATGCTTTTTCTATTTAAGTTTATTTTCCAGAATATTTGCAAACACCTCCAACTTTTAGAAATAAACACTTAAAACCGACTTAACTTACAATCACTAATTTCTGCTAAGGCTTTTGCAAACACCACCTAAGTACTGGGAATACAAATCATCAATGAACAAACTGTTCCCTTTCACTTCTGATCTCTATACAACATGTAATAAAATGTAGTAAAATTACATTTCACACAATGGTTTTCAGAATAATCCAAGTATCATAGCATCATAGTATTATTGTTTAGTGTTCATGGTCTTCACCGCACGAAGCGCAGTCGATTCCAACAAAATTACCATTCAGTCCTCCCGGACCCCCCAAAAAAACAAAAAAAAAACCCAATTTCAAGAAGCCCCTCTCTACCTATAAAAAGAAGGACTAAATGTAATTTTGCATATACTATTGCCAAAAAAAAAAATCAGAGCATATACGACTTTTTCACCTTATTTCCGAAGCTAGAGACCCCATTTTCTTAGTAATAACTTCCACTTTATCAAACGCATTATCAATTTCATCGTCATCCAACTCGGCAAATTCTTCGATTTCCGTAGATGGATTCGACGAGAGAAGCTCTTCCAGCATTACATCATTCTCGGAAATATCCGGAAGCACAAGCCTCCCTTCATCATTACCCGACGGGCCCACACTCCCATCATTTGGAAAGTCGATATCCTTAAAAAAGTCGCTCATCTCATCCAACGAAAAATCCAACTCCATGAAGTCTTCCAAATTAGAAGCTTCCGGCGCATCGTCTTTCAACGGCTGATAAGGGACTATCATTTTATCGGACGGCTCACAATCATCGGTAACTTCGCTCAGTTTTCTATTGCTGTTGTTGTTGTTCTCTTTCGGCTGGAAGAACTGAACCATAAACTCGGGGCTTTGCATTGCCATCACTATGAAAGAAAGCATCTGCTGCTGGTTTTTTTCCATGCCCTGTAATTGCTTTCGCACTAACAGCATCTTGCTCTGAGAGTTCTGCTGGTGCTGACTCAGTTTCATGAGCTGCTGAGTCAGCGCGTTCTTGTCGGTTTTGAGATTCTCGACTTCTTTCCATAGGGCTAATCTCCTTTCTTCTTCTTGTTTGGATTGCTGAGGGGCGATTGTGTCTTTTTGCTGCGGAGGGTTGTTTTGATGTACGGGGATCTGAGGCTGCTTTCTTCGGGTGATGTTCTTGAGCAGATGCTTCTGCCCTTTGACGAAGGACTCGTTAGCGAATTGCCATTGGTCTGTATCGATTTTCTTGAAACCCTGGATTGATATTCGAAGGGAAGTTAATGGACATTAACAAAATCTTCGATTTTTTTTAGTCTCGTTTCGACTAATTAGAAGATCCCTTTTTGGGTGATTATATAACGAAAAAACACGCTCACACAAATTGTAGAATCAGCAATCACGGAGTAAAACTAATCGACAGAAAAACACGAGTTTACGCATAACAAACGAACATAAAAACTTACGAATGTTGAGTCGAGCAAATAAAGGCGAAAGACTCAATAATGCTAACTGAACTATACTACGGAAAAAAAAATAATCTTAGTGATGGTAATCGGTAAGAGAAACACCGAGAACTATTTTAACTTCAGTAGCAAGAAGATTCTCGAGAAACGAACATAAAATCCACAACGATGTCTATATCTCCGTATTTCGACTTTGAAATCATGTGGGTAATGTCTTCAATACCCCCATTGGAGATGTTGTTTGGCTCTCTATCCACAAAATCACGAAATCAATCATCCCGTAAAACCGACTCCAAATTCCACCATAATTAATCACACTACAAATAGTTTCCCAACATTGCACTAATTCATGCAAATAGTCAAAATCAATGGTGTTCTGGTCAAAGGTACAATATACTGAGTATAGAGAAGCACAGATACTTGCAAAAATTCCCCATGAAAACACACACACACACACACACACACACAAATATGAACCCTAAGCACCACATAGAAACAAAAAATTTAAGATATTCAGGAAAATAAATAAATAAATAAAAGAGAAGCTCACATAGATATTGAGTTGGCGAACGAAGCTGGAGAAATTGCTGTGCTTGAAGTACTTTGGGAGCAACTGTGAAGCAAATTTCGACTCGTCCCATATAACGAAGCTGTCGTTTGACTCAGTCCACGAAATCAACTCGTTCGTCGACTCATCGTTGACCATTTCGTAGCATTTCACCAGGAATGGTGGGAGCGATGTTCCGTTCTCCACCGATTTCACCATAATTCAATCCAACAAACACACACACACACACACACACACACACAATTGAAGAAAAAAAATCAATCCAGATTCAGAAAACACACATCCCCAAAATCAATAATCGATATCGAATTCAAAAAAATAAAATAAAATTGAATTGAAAATTGTTGAGGAGGTGCGATGTATATGATATATATGTGTGTGTATGTATAGATTGTATGGAGAATATGTGAAAAATGTGTTTTTCTTGGGAAGGAAGGTAATGAACAGAAACGAAGGGGGAGGAAATCGAAAGGAAAGTCTTTATTTTGAACTTCAGATATTTACTGGAAATATCAAACTTATATTAATTCAGAATAATATTAATAAAAAGTTGGCAAAATTATTAAATTAGTGGCGGTGGGACATATAATATTTAGAATTTTTTTTCTCCTTTTTCTAATTTTTTGAAAAAAAAATGGAATACATATTTAATTCCAATTTTTGGTCCGATTTTAATTTTCAAAAATTCCAATAGTTTTCAAAATTATGCTTATAATATCAATACTTATATCATTTACTATAGACTATTACAGGTGGATAAATAAATAAATTCGAGTTCCGCCGATTCTGCTCCGAAAAACTCCAATTTTGGATGAAGTTTTATTCCAGTTCCCGGAAAATGTGTATCTTTTTTCTCTCGGATTTTTTGGAACATAAGTGAAATTAGTTACTTACTTCCGAAAAAAATAATTGATTTTTTCCTAAAAATCGGGAATCGAAATTTCAGAAATTGGAATCAATTTTTTTTTTCCTAAAATAAAAAGAAAAAATGAACCTGGGTTTGTCGAAATTCATTTTTTTATTCATATATAATATAAAACATACATAATAATATTGAAATTATAAGTGTAAATTTCGAAAAGAGATTAGAACTTTAGAAAATACATTATATTTTTTTGAAATTCAAATTGAATTAAAAAATAAGCATACTAACGTGAGAGTTCTGTATAATATTTGAATTTAAAAAAAGGGTAAATTACAACCAATTCCATGAGGTAAAGTATATATAATTACAACAAAATCATTATCTTTTATAATTAAATCTAGCACCCTGCAGTTTGTAAATATCAGACATCCAACCCCTACAAGAGGGTGTCAATGTCAAGGTAAGAAATCTACAAATCACAAGAGGTTGACGTAATTATGAAAAAATGAGGGGTTTCTCCGTATATCGAACTCACCTGAGGGGGTGGTTGTAATTTACAAACAAAAAGGGGAGAGATTTGAAACAAATAAATATACATGGCACCACAAATTTGTACCAAATAATCAGTTTAGCAGACTCCCAAAGCTTCCAGTAATCCAATCAGCAATAATGGAACACGCTGGGATTTAATAAACTTTAAACCTGCCACATAAGAAATTTT